GTCTCCACGGGTGCTGCCCCTATAAACTCCACTTTGGCATTTCAAGGGGGCAACCATACAGTTGATCCCAGGCTCAGCTGTGTGGTGCTGCCCCTTTGAAGCTGATAGGCGGCGTTTTAAAGGGACAGCGCCACACAGCTGAGCCGGGGATCAGCTGTGTGGCCACTTCCCCTTTGAAATGCCGCCTTGACATTTCACAGGGACAGCACCGTGGAGCCCAGGGTCAAATGGGGACTCCCCAGCTGACCTCGGGTTACACGCGGCATTTCCCCAAAACCCGGGGTCAGCTGGGGACTCCACGCTGATAGGCGGCGTTTTAAAGGGACAGCGCCACACAGCTGAGCCGGGGATCAGCTGTGTGGCCACTTCCCCTTTGAAATGCCGCCTTGACATTTCACAGGGACAGCACCGTGGAGCCCAGGGTCAAATGGGGACTCCCCAGCTGACCTCGGGTTACACGCGGCATTTCCCCAAAACCCGGGGTCAGCTGGGGACTCCACCTTGGTGTTTCAAAGGGGCAGCACCTCCCAGCTGAGCCCAGGATCAGCTGTGCAGCACATTGGAGCCCGGGGTCAGCTGGGGACTCTTGTACATTTCAAAACAGGCACCCACGTGCAGCTCGGAGTCAGCGGGACTTCCCGTTGGCCCCGGGCTGCACGCAAAGTTCCGTATTCCTCCTTTAAAATGTGCAAAAGCCCTCGCAGGGGCTCCTGTACATTTCAAAGGAGGAATGCGGAAGTGCCTATCGACTAGTCGAGTAGTCAATTAACCGCAATTTGACGTCCTTAATTAGTAGGAGACTTACCCGGTGTGGCCCAGAGTGGTGAGAGTCATGCGGCCAGCTTCTCCCTTGGGCTGACCCAATTGGTGGCTGTTCGCCGGAGAAAGCCCAGGATGGCCACAGTGGGCCGGGGTGGCCCAGGCAGTGGGGGCAGGGCAGCTTTTCCCCAGGGCTGGGGTTCTTGCTGCCCCCCTGTGGCCATTCATGAATATCACAATCCCTGCTGTCACACCCCTCCCTCTTTTACATTTGATGCAAAACAATCACATTCCACGTACATCCCATTATCCTGGCACAATCCAACCCAGACCTTGTTGTAAATTATGATAAGAGGAAGCTGCCTACCGAATTTGGTGGTTCTAGCTTTTACCGTTCAGGCGGAGTTCTTGAACAGATGGGCTCAACAGGCAGATGGACGGCTGCACAGACAAACACCCTCTTTCAAATATATAGTAGATTGACAAATAATTAATCCTTGATTTGTAGTTACCACCACCCTGGAAATCTTTTCACGTCTGTCCCATGTGAATTCTCCAGGTATTTTTGTGCTCCGACGTGCCCTCGGTGGACACGGTTCCTGCTGCCATCAGGAGCCAGCTCCGGATCAAATCTCTCCTTCAGCAGCTGCCTCCGCAGGACTGCGATGTAAGACGGGCAGCAACTTTCCCATGGGAGTTCTTTACGTTGGCGATGGCTCACACATCCATCATTCCACCGCATGAGCCAATCTCATGCTTCCATTCTCCTTGGGCTTTGCCACCTTTTGCTACTCTACCCTTAGCTCCCTCCCCCATATCACCCTGTGTTCCTCTGTCCTGGAGCACACCAATTCTTAGGTCTTTCCACTCCAAAGACAGCTCTGATGCGCCTTAACCCTGCTTTGCAGCCTCCCCTCCCACCCAGTATGCCAGTTCTGGGGTCCCCCAGAACTGAACTTTGCCAGTGCCTCTGATCCCTGACCTGCCGTTGCTCCTGCAACTCAGATTCCTGGATCTCTTGAGCAGAAGGAGCCAGTGATGCCAAATTCTGCACTGGCTCTTACAGTGTGCCCGTGTGCCCACGGTGGCCCCACCAACCAGGGCTGGTTCTAGGAGTAGGGCAGTCGCCCCACCCCCACCTCCTGGGGACAAAGCATTGCTGTGCCACTCAGCTGAGTTTCTCCACTCCTGATTGGTCAGCCTGCCTTTTTTGTTTTCAGTTCTTATTTCTTTGCTCAGTCACATGGGCTCCTGATGCCTCCCTATCCCAAACTCCTGGCACTTGTGCCTGTGTTCTGTTGTGATGCCCATGGCCGCAGCATCCAACCACCCCTTCCATGTGGGAGCCCCAGACTGCGGGGTGAACCCCCCTCCCCCCAGAGCTCCTACTGCTGGAATGCCACCGTCTGGTTCCTTCCCAGGACAGGTACTGCCCCACCCTTGGGGAGGAGGAGAGGAAACAACTGCAAGCGTTCAGTGCCCGTCGCAGGCAGGAGTCACTTGGGCAGGGTCTGGTGTACCTGGTGCCCTCCGCCCGCCTTTGTGAGAAGGTAAGCTGTTGCCACGCTCATTCCAACCTCCCTTGTGCCCACGACAGGCCAGGGAACTGTAGGCAAGGATCCATCAACTGTGCCCCTTCTTCCACCCTGTGAAGACCTTTGACTGGCCAGCTCACAGGTCCCCGGTCAGTTTTCAGGGCTGATGCCACCCATTTGCCTTGCAGTGCGGCAAGAGGGTGAATGCAGGGGATCTGGGGGTTTTTGCAGCGAGGCTGGGGGAGCGATCCTGCTGGCATCCCTCTTGCTTTGTCTGCCATGCCTGCCACCAGCCTCTGGTCGACCTGATCTACTTCCACCAAGCAGGGAAGGTCTACTGTGGCCGGCACCACGCCGAGTTCTTCCGGCCACGCTGCGCCTCGTGCGATCAGGTAGGCACACAAGCGACTGTGCAGGCTGCGTGGGGCTGTGTCCCGCTTTGGGGTCACGGGAACTGCTAGGCGATGCGAGTCCTTGGCTCCATTTAGTCCGGCATCCCCACCATACGGCACCAGCCCATTGGGCCATCTACTCCGGCCTCCTGGCTCCGGTGGACGAGGCTTAAAGAAAGCCGAAGGTACCCTCTTATATAAAGTTGCCCACGGTGGGGCCATGGGCAGCAGGGTTCCTTTCTGAGCTCTGCTACAACCCACTTTTGCCCAGCAGAATGAAGTTGGATCACCCCCATCTCAGCATCAGAAATAAGCTCAAATCCATCCCTTCCCCCCCCCCCCCCCCCTCCTGGCTCCGGTGGACGAGGCTTAAAGAAAGCCGAAGGTACCCTCTTATATAAAGTTGCCCACGGTGGGGCCATGGGCAGCAGGGTTCCTTTCTGAGCTCTGCTACAACCCACTTTTGCCCAGCAGAATGAAGTTGGATCACCCCCATCTCAGCATCAGAAATAAGCTCAAATCCATCCCTTCCCCCCCCCCCCCCCGTTTTCGGCTGAGGTCTCCCCTTGTGCCTTCTCCCTCCAGCTAATCTTCACAGATGAGTGCACGGAGGCAGAGGGCAGGCGGTGGCACACGGAGCACTTCTGCTGCCTGGAGTGCGACCTGCCCCTTGGGGGGCAGCGGTACGTCATGAAAGGCAGCAGGCCCTGCTGCTGCAGCTGCTTCGAGAGCCTGTACGCGGAGCTGTGCCAGGCCTGCGGCGAGCTCATCGGTAGGTAGCCGTGCGCGGCTCTGGGCTTGGGGAGGGCGCCTGGCCACAGAGGGGGCTCGGGGCAGCCAGAGTTCCAAGGCGGAGGGTTATGGACATGGGATGGCTCGCTGGGGGAGGATGGGCCCCACCCTCAGGTCATTGCAGTTCTGCGTGGGAGCAGCCTCTCTCTCGCTCACTGCCCCTCAGGTGTCGACTGCGAGCAGGCCACTCACCAAGGCCGGCACTGGCACGCCCGGGCCTCTTGCTTCTGCTGCAGCCTCTGCTGGATGC